CCGGCGAGCCGAAGACGCGCAGCAGGCTGACGTCAAAGGGGTGGCCAGGACCGTCACTATGAGCCAGGAGCACTACCTGCGCAACGTGCTGGAGACCTTCGGCATGGCTGACTGCAAGCCCGTCGGCACGCCGCTCTGCACGGGCTACGTCGACAAGCCAGCCGACAAGGAGGAGCCACTCCCGGACGTGCCGTTCTGCGAGCTACTTGGCTCCCTCCTCTATGCTGCGACGATGACGCGCCCAGACATCTCAGCGGCTGTCTCCATCCTGTCTCGCCGCATGCAGCACTTCGGCATGGACCACTGGAAGGCTGCCAAGCACCTTCTTCGCTACATCAAGGGCACCTTGTCCTACATCATCAAGTACGCCGCCACTGGCGACACCAGCAACGGCAGCACTGCCGACGGCGTGCTCTCAGCGTACTCGGATGCGTCGTTCGCCTCCGACGTTGACACGCGACGTTCCCGCACGGGCTTCGTCGTCTTCTGTTCCACGGGCCCCGTGTCCTGGAACTCCAAGCTGCAGGCCACCGTGGCCACAGCCTCCGCCGACGCGGAGTACATGGCTCTCGCAGCCACCGCACAGGAACTCATGTTCCTTCGCCAACTCCAGGAGGAGCTCACCGGCGCCGTCCTGTGCGAGCCCACGCTCGTGCACACGGACAACCAGCCGGCGCAGCGCGTTGCCGAACACGCCGCCTCGCGCATGCGGCACATCCTCGTCAAATACCACTACATCCGCGAGTGCGTCGACACCAAGAGGATTGTGCTGAGCTACCTCGCCACGGAGCACATGATCGCAGATCTCCTCACGAAGATCCTCCCTCGGCCCAAGACGGCTCAGTTCTGCACGATGCTGTTCGACCAGCGTCCTCTGCCAGGCTGCAAGCCACGGGCCCGTCCTCATTCGGGCCGGTCGCCACGTCCTTCGACTCCGCGTCAGGACCTCTGAGTGGCCGCGCACCACAGGACACGCCTTCACTCGGGCCAGCCTTCCACAACAGGCTGCGCACCACAGGCACCAACCATTTTCTTAAACGTGTTCCACAACACACGTCCTTACTCACATCTCACCTACATCTGCCCATGCCATTCCTACATGCATGACATCATCCACATGCTCATGATCAGCATCATCACATTTCAGAACATCAACGCAACAGAGAGGTAGGTCAATGCGGGGGAGTGTTGACAGGCAAGTCTTGTCTGCTGAGTCATATCATTGACCTCCCTTCTTCACGACACCACAACTTTGCATTCACCTCTCTTGTGTTCTGGAATGCTCACGTGATTTCCCTGCAACCTGTTGCACGTGCAGTGTTTAGCTTGGGTGATGCTCGATGTTACATGCTCTTGCATAACACACCACATGACCACACAACTCTCAACAAACACTTGCCACGTCACCACTTTGCG